CGTAGAGAGATGCCAGCCCTGGGAAAAATGACCTTGGGGCGCCAAAAGAACCGTATATCAAAGTATGCTAAAATGTTTTTTTTATTCAATTTGTGACTGCTGATAATAAATAAGTAAATACTTTCTGTTTCAAATAAATTAAATTAGATTTCATGGGAGCCTTGACTCCTGCACTAGGTTCCCGTGTACATTTAGTACTTAAAATGACAATACCTTTCTAGTTTCTCAACGCAGGCGTCCTGGTAGTCGTGTATCCAGCGCACGCCGTTGAAGTGGCAGACGGCGCGCATGTCCTCGGGCAGCTCCTCTGGCTCCGGCCACTCGAAGTTGTCGATGATAGGCACGATGTTGCACTTCGACTGCAACGCCGCCACTATCTCCTGCTCAAACACAACAAATGTTAACACACAAAGCAAAATAAAATTATCTTTTATGTAAATAAATAACCAAAAAGAAATGACAAACTAGCTTTCGTCCGCATGCAGTCCAATAGCCAATGTGTTCTTCCAGAATATCTGTTACATCAATGCCAAATTTCATCGAGATCCGTTCAGCTGTTTAGACTACAAACTATAACAAACATCCATCCATCTAAACGTTCACATTTATAAGTAGATGTACATACCCGATGGACCCAGTCTTTTTGTTCTGTATCGTGCTTACACCTTTCTAACGCGTTGGGTGTGAGCACTAACAAGAAGTTCTTCGCGTGCCGTATGCTCTGCAGCAGGTTATTGTCGAACTTGCCGGCCTCCAGCCGCTCCACGTCGATGAACACCGTGAACCCTCGCAGCTGCAGGTGGACCTTCAGTAGACTCGCCAGCTGAGAGCCATTCGACCGCCTGTAGCTCACGAACACGTCCAAATTCTTCTCCATATTCTCTTCGCCTTTGCTTGGTAACGTGCTTTCGTATACTGCAAACAAACAGATTAAATAAATTATAGAGTGGACATCCGAAACATTGTCTAATAAATTATTAGTAGCTAATAAATTAGACTTATTGAGGTTGTGTCAAACTAGAAAAGTTACCTAAGTTGTGGAAGTGTTTGTGTTATCTCATCTATTGATAATCGTGCGAATAAATTCACTTAAAATAAGAAGTGCTTTGTAAATTTTGGTTAGGTGAGGTATTTAAGGTGGATTTTCACTACGTCCACATCAGGATCTCTGTCAGACATGTAAAGAGAAAAAGATTTATGTCAATTTCTCAGTGCGGATTAATCTAACAATGTGATAATTGATTTTCAGTCGATACTCCGTCCGCGTAGTATTAAAAAAAGAGTAAATAGCCTATGTTTTCATTCAAACTATCCTCTACATTTATGCAAATTTTCATTGAGATCCCTTTAGCAGTTTAGGCTACAAACTCTAAAAAAAATCATCCATCTAAACTTTTGCATTTATAATATTAGTAAGATTAGAAATGGCTTTTACTTCAGAAACTTTACAATACAAGAGCATTAACCGCAAATTACATCAGACTTATTTCCTTGTTATGTTTTGAATAAATATAGAACATAATATAAAAATAAAACTATTGCCTGACTCAAAGAGGTAAAGAGTGATTACTCATAGCCATTGAAATCTTGGCACACATCTGGTACACCTATTAGCAAGTTGCAACATATATTCTTAATTTAAAAAAAATCTTCACTTTAAAAAAAGTGCTGGTTTGAGGTCTAAAACTCATTTTTTTAATTGACAAAGTATAGAGTATTAAAACATGAATTAACTCGCAAACAAAAAATTAAACATCTTAATAGGATTTTGTGTCATAAAACCTTGTAGTGTTTAATTTATTTGAGTAGTTAATATTAGTTTTAGTATCGATTAGTGTATGTGGGCGGCTCGGCCGGCATAAGCGATTGTACAGCATGGCGCAATTCAAGTTATTTATGTACCTTTGACTAAGTGAATAAAGCAGAAACATAATTAATGTATTATTATAGCATTTGTTAATTTAAAGATAAGCCAACATTTTGTATTTTAAAATTAAAAAGTTGATAATTTTAGTATGTGATGAATTTTTGATTTAGTATCGCTAGGAAAAGGTCAGTAAAAGATTAATAGAGTGATTCAAAAGCTTTATTTGACACCAAGAGATTCATATAACGTATAGAAACGTCTAGAAAGGTGTAGAAGGGCTTAGTTCTCACCTCTGATCGCGTTGAGGATCCGCAGGCGGTGTATGCTGTTGACGATGCGGCACTCGTTCTCCAGCTGCTCGTCGCTGAGGCCGCGCATGGCCTCCTTGTCCACGCCCGCGTTCAGCATCGAGTACGTGTATATGGTGTACTCCGGACCTATCGTCTGCAGGAACTCGTTGAGGCTGCCCGTGTCCCGCGAGCTGTAGTCCGCCATCTTCTTTAACTGTTGAAGTTCTCTCGTGAATCTGAAATTAGCATTTTTTATTTAATTATTAAATTTATCAGCGTCAATTCAATATATGTCTAAAGCAAATTAGATGATTCTATCATACCTTTTCCTTTTGATTCCGTTAAGCAGACCGATGTCTTCTTTGAGATTGTCTTCACTTATTTGCAAGAGTAGATCACCATCGACTCTACTCTCTTGGAAATTATTAGCGTACTCTGAGAAACCTATCTGTTTGACCCATTCCTTAACATCCTCTATGGACCAGAGCGGCACCTGCTGTGACAGTTTATGTGGAACTTCCTCCCCTATTAGCCTCAACGCCTGTGCCGCGTATTTAGAAGCGACCGCGTTCGGACAACTGGCCACTTTCTTCAAAGACTCTATCGCACCAATCTCTCTAAATATTTCAGTATTTCCTTGTTGTTTTTTAATGCCCGCTTCCATGCAAAAATGGAAGGCGGCTAAATTCCGAGCTTCCTCCCTTTTTGAACTTAAAACCGGTACTAATTTTTGTAGCCAATTCTTGCTCTGTCCGTGTGCGTGTGATAAATTAGATTTAGCAAACTCCGAGGGATTATGAGAAGTGACGAACGGTTCCACTAAATCTAGGGTCCCCGATTTCAGTACTGCCGCTTCGATTTCCTTGTTAGCGACTAGTACGGCGATCGCCAAACATGCGTAGTATTTAACGTTGTCGTCTGTGTGGAATGCCAGCGGGAACAGCCACATCGGCACTTTTCTCTTTATCATCGCCTCCTGGTTCTCGGCGCCACCGTACAAAGAAAGGTTGGCGAGCGCCGTCGCACAATGCCTTA